GACATTCTAATTTAGGTGTAGTTTGGTAATTGGTTATTTTGTTTTTTTAACCAAAAGTATAAGAATATAAAAAGATTATCTCATTTGTAACATTTGTAAATTTTTGAAATAAAATCTAAAAAGACGAAATGAACTTAGCTTAATTATTAATCAAAAATTTAATGCGTAATTGAATCATTTGTTATTAAAAATAAAATATGGAATGTGCAATTAAATGTCGAATATAAGCCATTGTGTACAATACTGCAGATAATTAGCTTAATTTAATAATGATTATATTTATCGACACGTGAGGAACATTTTAGATCAACTGCATAAAATGCGCGAAAATTGAGTGATGCACTAGGTGCTTGGATTAAACTTTTGCAATTAAAAACATATTAATTCATCTTATGCATTATTTTTTCTAAATAAAAAATTTTTAAAACACCACACATTACGTTACTTCAAATACATATTCTTTATCATTAATCGTATAGGTATACGTGATTTTAAAAAAATTAATAAGTAAAGTCACATAAAAATTCACATGTGCTTGAAACTAAAAACGTACTTTCCGTCCTGGCACCACACTCTCGCACGCATTTTTACATGACAGAATAGTCATTCTTTGAATAAAAATTTCGTCTAGTTAAAGGCTTTTTTCGAAACTCGTTTTAATAATATAATTCGTAGTCAGGAAGTATAGTCAGAATACGCATAGAATCAGAAGGCACGCAGCATAAGATAAGAAAAATTCAGCCAGCACAACTTTTAGCATTGTAATTGTTATTATACATGTATATATATTTTTTTCCCTCAAATTTTCGTATTACTCGTTTGATAATTTAAAATCTCGTGAAATTTTGTCCATTCATTTGTTTTATATCAAAGCTATCATCGCATTTAATGACTCTCAAAGTCGTAATTTTTCTTTTTTTTTTATTTTTCTCAATCAGCGAGATATAAGTATAGGTATATTTTTCAAAGCAATGTCGCATCTTGCAACTTTTATTTTTCACGTCTTCTCCGTCACAATAGCTTACGCATCTATTACCGATTCCATTGTACAGGAATCGGAATTTTCGCGAGATTCCACCATAAAAACACGTTCTTCGTTTCCCATCGCGCGAAATTACAAAAATTAAATTCCTCGACGTCTCCTAAAAACACTCGCACAACCGACAGCTCAGCTATCACGTTTCTTCGATAAAAAAACATACACTCTCGGCAATGTCATCGTCCACCCTGACCTCAAGACTCGTGTCCATCGAAATCGGGATAGTAGTAGTCGTCACCAGCAACAGCCCGAGGCCCATCCCCTACGAGCACTCTATTGTTCTCCAATTTACTCACAAAAACCGAAGACGACGACGACGACGACGACGAGGACGAGTGGTAGGAAGAGCCTCTCCGGGCGTGGGAGGAGTCATCGGCGGTGGCGCTGGTGCCGTCGGCGTGTACCTGAGCCGGTGGCACCAGCAGCACTCCTCACGCCCTCACGAACTTGTAAACCACCCCGAACACGAGGACACTCGCGAGCACGAGCACCAGGGCAGTCACGACGCGGACAAAGACGTGCATGTCGCTCTCACCACCGGAGCGCAGGTCGGCCCGGCGGTTCTTCGAGTGGACGTGCGACTGTTTGGAGGCGAGGCCACGGGCCAGGGCCGGGAAGGCCAAGCTCTGGGTGAAGGTCAGCTTGTGCAGCGACTCGGAGAGCGAGTACGGGCCCACCGAGCCCCGCGCCGCTGCTCGCAGGAGGGCGTACTCTAGATCCAGGGCGTCGAACATGCTGTATCTGCGGGTCAAATGGAATTTTACCTTTTTTTTTTTTTTTTTTTTTTTTTTTTTTTTTTTTTTTTTTCACTGTGAGCTGAAGGTGATGGGTGTTAATAATTGATCCACAGCAAGCGATGGGTCACGTCTGACTATCAATGACGCGATGCTGTTTATTACGGGCCGCTCACCAGAGTTATTATTACCGTTGCGTTGTACTTTTTTTCTTCGACAATATTGCGTGTTATAAATTTATCAGAAGTAATAGAAAAAAAAATAAAAAAAAAAGGAAATGAAGCAAGTTGGAAAAGTATAAATATCTCTGAAGCTACCAGCCATTGATCGCTCGTTCGTAAGGAGCACACAACTTATTAGCAGTTACTCTCATGTAGACGCAATGATTCGCGTATCCGTTATAGGCACAAATAGCAAAAAAAAAAAAAAATTAAACGAAACGAGCCACTCTGTCATGTAAAATGCACGTCTTTGGATGCGCGTGGTCCATTATAAGTCAGCAGCTTTTAATTAACTCGAGAGTTCATTGTAACCGGATAGAGGTTTCGGTTGGATTACAAAAGCCTGCCTCCATAGATCATCAGAAGGGATTAATTACCGAGAGATGGTCGCTATTGGTAAAAAAAAAAAAAAAAAAAAAAAAAAAAACTGTCCTGTACATAATGTATACCAACAGCGAGCCACCGACGTACCTGCTGCTGCGCCTACGCTCGTGCGAGTGCATCGACGTGACGGCCGAGCTGGGCATCGACCTGAGACTGCTGGTGGTCGAGCTGGACGGGCTGGGCGGCCTCTCAAAGTCCTCCTCGCCGATGGAGGCTCTGTCGGGCGACGCGTAGCCGGACCTCAGCCCCGAGTTCCCGCTCGCTCCCCTGTCCGAGCCCTGGTGATGGTGGCTGTGATGGTGGCTGTAGTGGTGGAGACGCGCGTGGTCCGGGTGCAGGAGACTCGGCCTCCGGGACTGTTGGGGTGTAGCTGCAGGGCTGACGCTGGTAGCCGCACCACTTGGGCCACCGTTGCCACTGTTGGCGCTGCCCGGCCCGCCCATGCACGTCGGCGACGGGGACACCTTTGGGCGAACGAGTTTCAGACTTTGTGCTTTTTTTCGGTGCGGTTGCATATAGATTATGAAATAAAAAGAGGGAGCTTTGCTGGGATAATGGCACTTTTTCCCTTTTTTACTCGTGAGGTGTACAAAGTGTCTTGTGGAACCATTCCGGGAAGAATAAAAAAAAACAGTCGCTCTCTAATTCGATTCTTTTTTATAAGTGGTCTTTAGCCAAATTGGGGTATACTCGTTTTCGTGCGGTGGTTCGATCGTGTACGAAATATGTTTTCCATTTCACTTCGAATCTATCACATCCGTACACCTACCGCATTTCTTGATGTCACGGTAACAACGAGAAAATCAATACTTGAGCTGTATTTCCTTGTGCAAACTTTTTTTTTTCATTGGCAAATCGTATTTCGTACATCCGAGGGGTTCGCCTCTTGTGAATCGTATTTCAAAGAAAATGTTTCCAATAACATTATTATCATAAATCACGCGATACAGCATCGTCCAAGTATCGAGAAACTTTTTCCGTCCGCGCAAACTTTGGAGGATGCAAGCTATACGGTACATCTTTGAAAATTTTCATAATCTAAAAACACACAGTTTATTTCGCTGCACATCTTATTGCTTTTATGAAAAAAAAAAAGATGTAGATGCAAAAATTCAATTAATGAATAAATGATACAATAGTCACGCCACGGAACGTCCAAAACACACAGTCACAATTGAAATGTCATCGCGCAAAAAGTTTCATGGCCAATGCATAAATTACAATCACCACCTGCTGTAATTAAAAAAAAAAAAAAAAAAAAAAAAAAAAAAAAAGAAAAGAGTAAAATTCCTCCCAACTCCACGTGTGCACCTGTTTTAGACGTTTCCAGACAAAAAAAGAGTAGATACGCGAAAGTAGAGCAATGAAAAAAGCTCGCAATCACAAAAAAAGGACCAGCCGGCGGAATGGCTCCGCGTCGGCAAAAATCGCATCGCTGCACAATATAATCCCGTACGTGTACACGAAGTCGGAGGGAATGAAAATTGTCGTCGAGGCTTGTTTTTTTCCATCGTAAAGACGAAATATCATTCCAAGGTCTGCATAAAGATGGAAGCTTTTCGCACTAGCTGTGCACGTGCATCGACACGGCGTAAAACGTGATAAATGACCTGTAGGAGTACGTCGCACGGATACTTTTGAGCACGTACGAGAGATGCGATCATGAAAATTAATGGTGGCTGTTTTTGAAAATATGCCCAAGCTCCATCGGCTCATGGATGAGATATAAAAGCTCGTGACTGAGTGACGTGTATATACATACAAGATTACCGGTTATGTATTCTCAATCAAAAGTTAAATAGAGCTTTCATGTAAATTTGTCAATTGAATCAAAAATTGGGAAAGCTTTAAAAACAAAAAATGATGCGTTACGTTTTTCCCTCCAACTAGTAGGAAATTAAGCTTCGACGCACGAGTAAACAAAGCCTCCCCCTGATCAAGATAATACGGTAAATAGAGTGAAAATCCGAATCTCAAACAAAGACACAATACAACCAATAAAATCAAATAATCCGTTAATATCCTCGGGCGAAGGATCTATCTTCATCCTGAATCAATTAGTCCGGACCACCGAGCAGCTTAACCATAATAAATTCAAGAACTCGATTTCATTTTCCGCTCCAAGTCTCGGGATGATTCTTTTTTTTTTTTTTCCTTCCCCTTAAGGACCTCAGGCATGCATAGTACGAGGAGGAAAGGCTGTTAATTGATAGACGATGACCATGTGCTTTGGATTTTTACGTCGTCAAAACAGATGACGACAAAAAAAAGGCTTGGCATTCGGACTCGGTCGAGCGTAAACGACAGACAGCGCATCCCCTTCCCTACCACTAAGGACACCAAGCAAAGGCCTCCCTTGCGCGAATCAATAGCGTATAAAAACAAGTTCAAGGATATCGAGGCTCGCGAAAGGTTCATGGAAAAATATAAAACAAAGAGAGAGGGGTACCTGGATGGACTCGATACCGCTGTCGTTGACGTTGTCCTGGACGTCGGGGAAGACAAAAGCCTGGCCATCCGCCTCGCCTCGGGGCGACTCGCTCGGCCAAACTTGCAACAGCGGCAGCCCGCCCCGGGGCTCCGAGCAGAGCTCCGTCGCCTGGATCGCCTCCGGCTGCCGGTGGATCGCCGCTTGGCTGCTCGCTTCCAGGCATAGCCTGCTTAACTCTCTCAGTGGTTTCTGCGGGTCAGATTTTTTTTTTTTTTTTTTGTCATTTAACACGAATCATCAGCCTTTCAAAGCGTTAATTAGCACATTAGTTGGTACGGATGAATTGTCCTCCCCAAATTTCAATCGACGATACCCTGAAACGCTAACGACACACCGAGCTGTTTATCGGGCGTCGTTGCCACATTGCACAATGAGCGCGGACACGCCATATTCATTTCATGGCGTAAAACACGCCTCTCGCTCGATCATGTTTTATTCATGGCGCCTTCCACGAGCCTCGTTACGGGATAATTATTGCTTTTTTTTAATTTCTTCAAATTCCCCGCTGGTGATACCAGCGTCGCGGAACCATTGAGATTTCAACAGACGCGTATAAAACTATATTATGTATACATTGGTAGGATCGCATTTCAAGCACGAGACTCGTCGGGAAGCGACGCAGAGACGTGGAATATCAAATTTATGATACCCTTTTTGTTTTTTTTTTATTCATGGCGTGCAATAAAGTTTCTTCCGTCTTATGATACAGACCAAAGTGCATAAATCAGCCACGCGAGAATATACTATTTTCGTTAGATAACGCGGTTCGTGTACTTGGCTACAACGCCGAGCCAGAAGCGGCCGATAAATCTGTCCTGTCTACGATTACCATTAAAAATTCACGCCCAACCACCTCGAAAGCTCGTTACGGAGCAAGCTCGGCGATAAAAAGATTTTTTCTTTTCCTACCCCCAGCGTGAATAAAAACGTCGCTTCCAAACGCACCGTTATAAATATCCCGAACAACGAAAGCTCACCTGTTGGTCGGGAGCTTTCATCCCAGCTCTACCGAACGTATCACGATCTACAGCTGCAAGCTCGGCTCGTCGGTGTATGTTTTTTCCTCTGCGGACGCGTCGCGATGATGGATCGCACACCGCCCGCAGTAGCGCAACGAGGACCGCATTAAAAGCTCTTCGTTCGAATGTCCGGTTGTTATTTATCTAACAGCACTCTTTCTTGTCTTTTTAACTTTTTCGCGGTTCGAAGAAGGGAGGGACCCTGATTTACGGAGCGAGCTTTTTCTAGTGCAAGTTGTGTTTGGGGTATGAACCGCAACCCATCGGAAATCCCAGCTCTCGGGGAATGAATATGAAATTGTGCTTTTATGAAAAAAAAGCTCATATACATAAGGTAATACCAAGAGGCACTTATCCGCTCGCGGGTTAGCTACGCAATTTCAAGTGACTGACACTTTCATTTTCGAAAGAACCTCTCCTCCCACCACGCAACTACCAAAGCAACTTTTTCACACGAAAATATCGCGTTTATCAACACCGTCGTGCGACAGTACCATCACCCGTATTATTCAACTCGTTACTTTCCACCTTTCTGCTTTGCATTTGTCACGCCAGAACTGGCGTTCCATGGATATTCTTGTAACCGTCATTTCTTGCAAAAATCCTCATCTCGTTTCGTCTCGATGCTTTTCGGCGCGTCACGCCCATCCAACCTCTCGTTACGTGACTGGAAACACCAGCTGATCGAAGGCCGATACGAACGGAAGAAAAGCAGCGACCGTTGAGAGAGAGAGAGAGAGCTTGACTAATGATAAGCTCGAATATCCCTCGCGCATAAATATGAATACGTACATGGGGGAAATCGATGGGCTCCGGGAGTACAAGTGACACGGCAAAGTTCGGAGCAGACAATTTTTTTGCAGCCACCCCGAGTGAAACTGTTGCAAGCAAAACGAGCTTTGAGGGTTGCGAAACATTCGTCAATGACGTTTCTGCGTTTCTTCTCGTGCAACAACAACCCCAGAGTCCCTCGCCCGGGGGCACTATACAATAAGAAATAAAACACCAGCTGAGGCCGCGTGGAGACGTCGCGCGTTTTAATCGGGAGCGCGCGTTTATATCGATTACCCCCCCCCCCCCATCTCTCTCGTTTTACGAATCGAAAAGAAAACCGCAAGGCCACCACGTCGTCGCGTGAATTCAAGGAGACGCGCTTTGGAAAAACCGAAGGGGATTATTTTTTATTATTACCGGAGGCTGTTTGCGTACGCGTTTGGAAATTAAAAAGTTCACGGACGCGTTGCATAATATGTGCACGTATACATACATATGTGAGAGCCGATTAAATTATGGTGTATGGGGGCGCAGGTGTTGAGCTAAATTATTCAGGTAGCGCTTTATCAGCGCCGAGGATTTGATGCTTCTGTTTGTTGATGGATTGACTATTTGAATTATTCGTGTATTTTGATTGTGCACGAACTACTGGAGTAGTGGGATTTTTATTTGTTAATGGAATGGTACGGAAAACAAAGATTAAGCGTGCGAGAACGCGATTCTTTGCGTGATTATTCTCGAACCGAGCGAAGTGCGCTCGGCAAGAATCCAAGCTTTTTTTGGGTGATTTCATAGTTTTCGCGAGTGCCTTTGAGACGTTTGTACTGAGAATAATCGATATTATCTCTGATTCAGCTATGATTTTTTTTTTATAGCCAAGTAAAGGAACTGTGTCGAAAATTTGAAATTAATATGCTCAAAGTGAGACTGATGGTTCAAAGTTAAATTCAACATCAAGTTGAGCTGATTATTTGGCGATAAATTTTTTTTTTTTTTTTGCCAGTTGATGAAGAAACGCAATTAGTCCTGACAAATCGGGAGGGAACATTTTCAGACTCGCACTCCCACAGTAGATTAGCTCGCTCAAAGGCCAGTACAAGTTAGCGGTTTTTGCTTCTGTTGCCCGCTTGGACTGTGAATTAGTGCACGGTAACGAACCAGAGATTTTACCGGTGCTCCTCCAAGTTAATTGTACGCCTTTTTTGTGGCGTTATAGTATCGTATTTATTTGCTTCAGAAGATTACGGAATTCATTTGTTTACTTGTCTTTTTAAATTTTGAACTTCTACTCGCAAGTATGACTTGTGATTTCGACAAAGAGATGGGATGAGTCAAAAACGATGGATGACGTCCGACCGTCATTAGTGCGAGGAAGTTGAAAATGGAATTTCAATTAATTAGAGTCTCACGCGCGGATGTGCAAGTGTACGTGGAGAGGTACGAGAAGACATTCTAATTTAGGTGTAGTTGAGAAAGTTTCTTCTTCTTTTTCTGCAGTAAAAAGTCCTTATTTTTGAAGATTCATTAAAACATTTTTTCATCTCGAAAAATTTAATTTTAATTTTGACGTTTTGTACTGACTTGGTATTTACGTATGGACAAGCGTGTAGAAATAATTGAGGCTTCAACTGTAATCGATACACTCGTTACCCACATCACATTCACAATCGCGTGATGAGTATGAAAAAAAAAAAAAGGAAGAAAAAAAGAAATCCATAACAAAGGTCTATATTTATAACCAAGGCAATAAGTCTTCCGGATTTGTATGCAAATAAACATCTGTCACATGCACGCAAATAAAATGTGAAAAGCAAAGCACCGAACGTACAGCCACGTCAGCTGAGAAATGTTGTCTTTTCAAGCCACAGGGAGGTAACAGGAAATGTTTTCAGCAAAAGACTCTGCCTCCGAGCATCCGCAGATCACAGAGAAAGGTATTGGCAAGAATTTTTAATGGAATGAATACACGACGAGTTTCCAGGAAACATGTATTACATTGCGGCAACCGAGAATAGCTTTTTTTTTTTTTCTAAAAAAAACGATACATTGAAAACGTCGTTTGTACGTACACTGAACAAGTAAAATTTGAAATGTGGAACAATCGTTTCCAAACAAAAGTTTATTGATTAAATTAAAGAAATGTTGCCAACGTGGAACATATAAAAAAAACACGCGAATCCACGTTCCAGAAATAAAAAATAAATAAAAAACACACCGGCAGCCATCAAACGCGAGTTTTTTGCTCCATCGAACACTGCATCGATAAAAAAGATCGTGAAATATTTTTATGACTTTTGGCTCGCCTCGACAAGTGTAGGTAGCTGGACGTACCTATTTTTTTTCAAACCAAACAAGAGATAAATTCCAACTCCACACTCGAAAAGAATCAAATGAACAAACGAACAGTTAAATAAACGAACAACATAATAAAAAATACCAAACATAAACGATGTAAATAAAGAAATCGACGAAAATGAAATCGTTTAGCCCAAGCACAAGCTTCTTTGAAAACTCAACTCTTCAATTCACGTGCAAGATTCTCCATCAAAGACAATCCACCACTTGGGTAAGCCAGCAATTTTTTCACCCTTCCGATCGGCACACAAGCGTATACATGTGTGTATATTTAACTACACACGGTCTGAAAAAAAAGCGACATTGACCCTCTCCCACGTGTACAACAGTCCAGCAAAAACCCCGAGGCAAGTCACGCGAGGTAAATACTTTCTTAGGCCGCGCGGCTTTTACTTCCTCGCCAAAGTCTTGACGAGCAGGGCGCGATAAGGGCGCGAGATTAAACGCAGATTCGCGTGTCGTGGAAATCCCCGGGTATCGGTGGGTACGTTGATTTCGCGGGTGTATACAGACTGGACTTTTTCTCCCCTGCGATGTTAGTGAAATGTATTTTTCTTGGCGATGCTTCCAAGAAGGCGTGGGGCAACTTTTTCCTCGTCTATTTCGTCGAGGAGGTGAGAACTCAAAAATCATCCAGGGACGGTGGTTCACTAAAGGCACGTTAAACATTTTTTTATCGCGTGACAATCTGATTCATTTAGATTTCTGACATGAGCGTCAATAGGAGAAAAAAATCATGAAAATTGAAGCCATCATTATAGTGGAGTACGTAATATGTTTTTTTTGTATAGACAAATATTTTCTTCGTTTGATGTGTAAAAATAAAAATGGCAAACGAATAACTTTTATAAATGAATGTACAAGAGCATAATTTTATGTTTTTACTCTAAAGTTGAAGGGAGCTGATAACATACGTTCAAGGTCTTTTGAAATAACCAAGTTTATATCTGCCTTAAAATCATAAAGTAGTATTATTCGGCGCGAAGAAACTTTAGGTACGGTTAAATCTTTCTCGAATAGAGATTGATGTTGTATAATACGCTGTATGGACTTCTAGATATATGGAAGAAAATTAACTTGATTAAAGTAATACGTTTTCTTTGTTTAAAACAACATTTTTTTTTTCACATAAAAAAATGAAAGGACAGAAATTATCAATTATATAAAAATTATACGGTACATGAAACCTTAAATTAATGGAAAACAGTCGGAAACGTTTTGTTTTTAAGGATACACGTGTCAAGAATAACTATCGTCACTTTTTTCTCAAACTAGTCAAGGCCTATATGTACCGTGGCATATTTCATATTTTTCCATCGTTATTCATACAAGGAGATTATAAGGGATGGAGAGAGGGTTTTTTTTTACGAAACCGCAAGCGAAAGTAATTTGTCAGTGACACTCTCTTTTCCGCCTCTCATTTGATAATAGAAGAACTTTTCGTGCATTACACTCATTATTCATTTCTAATGCACGGGAAGTCTCGTAATTTTGGGAAACAGCTACAAAAATTTCGGTTCAAATAATAAAGGGAAAACGATAAATGACGTTGGACATGTTTTACATATTACAAGAGCATAAAACATTACTTTTTGGTACAAAAAAAAACTACACAATATTTTTATTAGCGATTTTTTTAATGAGTATTAAACGTTATATTTCACCATCATTAACAAGTACCCAGTACATTCAGTAATGTCAATTTGTTAAATTTTTTTATTGATCTCAGAAAAATTGCATTGCAACACGGCCCTTGATACCACCGATTCCAAAAAACAATACACATATCTGTAGCATTTATCAACGGAATGCAATAGTCAATATATAATTTTCTGAATAAAAAAAAAAAGTAAAAAACAGTGAAAAAAGTACCTACAAACTCACTCCCAAACTGAGCCTATCAAAGTCAAACCTAGTAAAAGCCACGAACAGAACCCCCGACACCCACATGGCTCGGCAACAAAAGCTTCGGTGTTTAAATTTTCACCCCATTTCCCAGAACTACTCGCTCAAAAAGCCAAACTCGCTCGTATACGTCGCTCAGCCTCTCTCGAGTGCCGGGCAAACACATACGTCCGTTTAAACAAACTCAAGCGAAGAGTGAAATGGTCTGTCACTGCACATTGGGGGCTGACGATTTTATTTCTTCTTCCCTTGATCTTTTGGTAAAGAAAATCTTGAATTTGTTTTTTTTTTTTTTTTTTTTTGGTTTTTTACGTATCAATAAATTTTCATCAACACCTGCACACTCCATAACTTATATTTAATTATGGACAAGGACACGTCATTTTTTGTTTTTTTTTTTTTTGCCACAATTATGATGGACCACTGTGTCCTTGGTTGACGAGTATAGGCCATTTATTTATTTAAAAGAATTTAATGCAAATTAGGCCAGGTACATGTATTAAGCTCGAAACGTCGCGTGACGTATCTTAAGACTAATTTCTTTTCGAAAGCTCGATTTGACGGAAACGATCATTATTTTTTCGAAAGATAAACAAAATTGGTTCACCGAGCAATTGAATTTAAAGCAGGACTTTTTTGATCCATGAACTTTACGGAAATCACTGGTGAACCGAACAAAAACACGCGTGTGAGCAACAAGTGACTGTGGATCCTTGGTACCATTACAAGAGCAACAACACGTGCTCTGCAAGTAAAATTATATACCAATCACCTCTTTGCACTTTTCCAAACAAAAACACAGCCTCACCTGCATGACTTTGCAAGCTCGGACCACATGTTATTACCAGAATCCTTCGGACCCTCGCTCCCCGTTTATCCTTTCGGCTAAATCTCCTGATCCCTCCTAGGGAAGGAAGAAAAGCATGTTATACCTCGAACCACACGCTCTTTTTTTTGTTTTGCGAAACAACAACAACAACAACAAACACTATTCACCAACCGATACCACCACCACCACACGACCCACCAAACGAGCCCGCGGTACAAACTGGCGGATCTGCCGCCGCTCCGCTCGAGATATCATCGTACAACTTTCTCTTTCTCTCTCTCTCCAGCTGTATACGAAAGTGCGCGCGCGCGTCCGCGTACAACAGCCCCTCTCTGTCTCTCGCTGCTGTACACCCTCTGTCTGCGCCACCCCTTTTTTTTTTTTTCATCCTTCCTGTACGATTTTTCTACCGGGGGGATTTCTTCCGGCTTACCGATGGTCAAGAGGGTTTTTTTTTTTTGAGCTGGCAGCTGTACCATTCATAGTTACTAGTCGCCTCTGCCGATGAATCTTTAGTGTCGTCAAAGTATAAAGTATAACCATGGAGACGATAATTGTACCCCCAGATCACGTGTCTGATATAATTCGTCGTTACCAATACCAGTGAGACCGAGAAAACTTTTGGTGTCGAAGTTTTTCCCTTGCCACGTGCGTTTTCCACATTGTTTGCCTGTCATACACAGCACGGCCCCATAGCCAGTTGTTCTCTCTCCCTAAAAGCTTGATAAATAGTGCAAACACTTCTCCCATCGCCACCAACAAACAGCTCGACCCTTCGAATTGCCAAACTTTCGTGCAGCGTAGCAAAGTAGACCTGCTGCTTCCAAGTTGAATGTCGGATCCCTGTCAGGCATATATAAGGCAAAAGAAGGGGGTTTTGGTCATGGCAATCCATGTAATCCGGTAAGTACGACCTGGTGAAGAAAAGTTTGGCGTTTCGTTATTTCCCGGGTGCGCGTCGGATTATCGTGACTCGTCACCCTACGATGGAAGATGAAAGCCACATAACACTTCCGGCGTGACCCTTTCCCAGGAATAATTACTGTTCGCGAGATTACGTGTACCTATTAACACATAGGGTGCCTTGTTTTCATCCATGGCTCGGTAACTGCAGGGTGGACTGATGACAATCGTTTTGGTTAATCGATTCACCAGAGTACAGTGTCAATGTATTTAGTTCTGATAATCGCGAATCGCGTCATCAATATCTGTGTACATTGTCCGTCATTCCCCGAGACAAAACGAAAAACATTACTATCGTCATTATCGCGAGACGGAATTTTCCGACGAACCGATGCCTAGAGTCGTACGATGGATACGATTACGAGGTGTTGCGCTGTTTGGAAAAAAAAAAAATATATCTATCAATCGCGGAACGATAGCGCGCGAGTGTGTGTATATAAACCACGAGCCGGACACTGGAGCAGCTAGTGTGGATCCTTCGGTCGATCGATTTTGCTTTGGAAAATGGCTCATTCGTGGAGCTTTTTCGTCATCTGCGCCCTGGCGTTGTTGCTAGCCGCTGTTCTGTGCGTTCACGCGATGCCCCAGAAAATGATGGAGATCGACGAGGAGGAGAACGAAATGGAGACACTCATGGTAAGGCTATTCCTGCGGTTGAGCAATATCTGGATCATTGGTTCGTGAGGGTGATTGTTTACCGATTATTCCATAGGATTTGGAGGAGATACTGGAGATAATAAGGAAACGCCTGCAACCCCTCAAGGAGTGTATAAACGAAGCCGTCAAAGCTTGCGAGAACGAGTTGAAGAAAGGCTTTCGCGAAGGTTTCGCCTGTGTGGTGAGTATGAGTGTACAAATAGAATACTTAGAAGAATAATAATAATTATGATAATCATAACAGTAATACTAGTAAAGATAATAGGAAGAGTAAAAAGAATTCCATGGTTATCAAAGAGTACCTGACTACGAGGATGCGTTAGCAAAATAGCTAGTCCACTTGACCATTGAGAGACACAGGGAGCTACAGTCAGAAGTAATACATCAGTTATAAGAAGTGGGCGAAGCTCAAGTTAAAGGCTAAGTAGGAGGGCTCTCCTACTTCGACATGTCGAGTGAGAGAAAGAGCACGGTTATTCTGCGCTTACGCCATTAGCCGAGAGGACCCACGAGAAGTTTTGGGTACATTGCACTACTGCTATGTAGTATGTTTTGAAAACCTGTAGTCCAAAGACAAAACTATACTACCCATTAGTTTCAACGTATTTAGGAAATGTGCTTTTTTCAGAAATTATGACAGTAAGTTTGAGTTTGAAGAATCATGTTATCAAAGAATACACATTAAATTTTATTATAGTTTTTATGACATTGGTTTTATTTAAGTGAATTACATTTTTCTGATAAGATGCCTTGAATATCTAAAATTCTAACACTAAAATTTACTATTTAAGGGATTTGTANTTTTTTTTTTTTTTTTTTTTTTTTTTTTTTTTTTTTTTTGTTTAATGGCTTTTCATTTGTTTACAGTTCCAACATATTGCCGATGGGAAGGGCAAATGCGAGCACAAACCGGGTAATTTTACCTCCGAGTTTTGAGTTGTTTAACTGTTTGTAACTAACTATTGGTTGTTAAAATAAAATTTTGACGTCTTTCGATTTTGTTGGTTTTTTAATCTGGTGTACTTTGGAAGTTGAGTATCAAAGTATTAGAATTCATCCTCTAAATACTGGTACATTGGATCATTATTTTTAGCTGAAAAATTATTGTTGAGTACTTTATTCCAAGAGGGGTGGCAAAAAAAAATTGCTCATCAACGAGAATGCACTACACCGTCGGAGAAAATTTAATTGATTTTTTTTTTCCAAATCTATGAAATCATTGTACCCAAAACTGATCACACTTACAATTTCCTTGAGAAAACTAAATACGCAATACAATAAATGGAGATATTTCAACTTTTTGCCCAAGTTGTATGTATGACACAATAAGTTGAATTTTTTTGATCTTATAGAGTGACCAAGATCAAAAAAGTTTAATTTATTGTCGCAGTACATCTTAAAAATGAAAACGACGCAAACCCAGCAGAATGAAGAGAACTTTGGAAATACAAAAAAAAAAAAAAAAAAAAACCGAAAAAAGGAAGGAGACAATAACAAAGAGACAAACGATATTGTCAAACAGAAGCGAAACGAGCAGTCGAGCTCGAGTACCTGTCTTCGAAGAGATAAAAAAAAAGAGATAACCGAAACGCGCACTTGCACGTGTCAGCTGCTAATACGCTACCACTACATCACGTGAGTAGAGAATTGAGCGCGTATTGCGGCTCGGCGAGACAAAATGTAAGGGTATGGAAACACTCGGGAGTACGGTGTCTTTGGTGAGGGAGACACCAGCTGGTAAATGATCCATTATTCGCAAGTGGCGACACACGCGCGCGTCCAAGTTCACACGAGGGTTGCGGTCGAGTTAAATCAGGATGTCGAGCAGGAACTTTGTTAAAAATCACGGCTGATTTCCCAAAGGCATCCCTCGTGTGGGGAATTTATATTTACGCCGTAAATGAATTATTGATCCCGTCGTAACATTATTAGATGTCTTTGATTATGGTCTTCGTCGGGGAAAAATAACACCGAGCTATAAATACACCTCGTCGAGTGTAGAAAAGAGGTTTGAAAGAATATGTAATGGTACGAAGTAAACGTGAAAAATATTTTCATGATATGATTCAATGTATGATAAAGAATTGTTTTACTTTTAAATTTTTAACAAACAATATTCATATTTATAGTTACCACTGCTAAGCATATGGACCAGACTATTTCGTGACTCAAGAAAACAAAACATTAAGGGTGACTAAAAATTATACGTCAAATTTTCGTAGTTAGGTACAAATGACTTCTGAATTTTTTTTAAATTAAAATTTTGTAATGAATGGCAAAAGTTGAAGGAAAAAACACTTCAGAGACTCGAGATGTTTGGGAAAAGTCTCACCCAGGCTTCCCCGAAACCCACTAAACTACAGTCACGTGAATAAAAAAAAAGGCCAGTATTCCAATATCCAATTATCCAAGGGTTGCAAAATACATCGAAATAAAATAACCAAACAGCCACCCCCGAGATCTCGGGCTCGGGCAATTTAACTTTCGGCTTCACCTACGGCTCTGAATATTTCACGTGCAATCGAGAGCCCACCATCGCACCTACCCTCCGAATTATTGAGTGCCAAGGGTGCCTAACTGTCCTCCCCAACCGGTTTCCTTAAAGAAAAAAAAAAAAAAATCCTCTATACGCGATCGCGATTCGCGACTCGTCTGGTCATTAAAAGCCTCGCGCCCCGAATAATAGGCCTAGGTACGCTCCCTCCGATAAACCGAGCACGTTTTTGGGGGTAGGGGTTGGAAAAGCATGATCAACGCGAAACGGGTAAAAAGAGAGGAATGAATTCGAGAGAAGGAAAAGAAATTGAAGGAATAATAAGGCGCCGGCGCGCACAACCCCCTTTTGCCCTCGACCCCCCTCTGCCCGACGCGTAGGTCAAGGCCGCCCAGGCCTCCCAGGTGGCCCTGAGCTCCCCCCCCCCGACCCCCTGTACACTCTCCGAAAGGACGCTTCTAACGTACGCCAGCCGGCACACCTGCACCCCCTGCCGTCGATCGATCCTGGGCTTACGCGACGCTAATAATGCCACCGTATTGCTGGATGGCCTAACGGATCGCCGCGTGCTTGTAACCGCTGTAGTCTTTGTCTTTGTGATTGGCCATCACTTTTTGCACTTATCGTCGCGATCAGTGAAGCTTTTTAGCTGTAGTTTCCTTTGTACCGATCAAAGGGAGGCAAAATTCCTCCGCAAGGAATGTAGTTTCTTCAAAGTCGGTCTAATTTTGACGTCTCGAGGGTATACTTGCGAGCGGGAGCTTTGCGAGCCAGGTACTTACGCGTATACGTGACGACGAACGGAGCTCGTTAAGCGCGTGGCTTTTGAAACCGAGTCGGGGGGGGGGGGTGAACGAAAATTCGCGTTTGATGCCAGAGATATTGGGCTTTTGACTTGTCGCTGTGTACTTGCCGTGGCAAAGAAAAAAAAAAAAAAAAAAAGGATTGAAAGGGGAGCGAGAGCGTGTAACTTCAAAGGGGGTACGAGTCCGGGATTAATTGCTCCCGCAAGTAGGTATGCTTCCGTGCACCCACTCGTTCGAGCAGTGATGGATTATTTTGGCTCGTAAAAAAATTCATTTTGCTCCCTTTTGTTGCTCTGGCGGTTTTGCGTGAGTTTTCAGACTGTAGGTCTCTAATGGTAACGGGGATGTATTTAAATGAGTCCACGAGGACGGATGTGGTTACGTTCTGGTTGCCCTGTGGTTCTCTTTTACGAGTAATTTGTCACCTAATGCACTCTGCGGCTGAATTTCGAGGTGATGGACTTGACAGATTCATAGAGTTTCGCGGGTCAAAATAGTGAGTACGTAACTTTAAAACGGAAATTCGTGATTTGCACGGCGTATGGCAGAGCCTAATGGCTTGCGAAGTAAATTTCCAAAAGTTTTTGGGGGTGTATTAAGTACACACTTACGCTATGACGAAATGCAGTTTTTTTTTTTTTTTTTTCATATAGTGATGGTAGTTTGACTCGTGGTATCGAGTATTTTAAAAGTAATTGAAAAAATAAAGCACAAAAGAGAGCGTACAGTAATGAATCCATCGCTCATCCGTCTCCCATTGTCGTACGAATCGAGCCATCGCCAAGACGGATTGTTCCGAGCACCCGAAGCGCATAAAAATCGATTAACAAGATGTTGGTTGCGCAACACCAACCATGACGAGACGGAAATGAAAATCATCCATCAATTTTCCTTACGTAAAAATACAATGTATCCCTCTCGTGTTTCTTCAATTATAGCCGCGTCGATCTTCATTTCCGTGGTCCGCGCGAACGAGCGCTCCTTCCGTATCCTCGACTACGCGCATCAGACGTATCAGTTCCTTTCTTGGCACCTTAAAAGCATCGCCACGCTAGCCAACAAAAGAACCCCACCGACTGTACGGGAGAGTAACTCCATTGTCTCGGGGCTTTTCCATTTTCCCGCGTGTCCGTGGGCGTACATGCAGTGGAGAAAGAAGAGACAAGCTCTTTCAAAAGTTGGAAAATCAGGCGAGCGTCAAGGCGTGCGTGTGGTGTAAAAGTTCTTTTTTTTTTTTTTTTTTTATCTTGGTCAAACTAAGAGGAATTTAATTTCCAAGTAATGGCTTTTAGGTGGTCAAAGGTGCTTCGATTTTCCAAGGGTGGCGTATTACACAATAAGTCCAACGGGGCAAAATGAAAGATCACACCCGGCACGTGGGCAGTTATTTATTATTTCAATATCGAGAAACCGCTGTGAGTGTAAATACACGATGGGCAAAAGCACGTACATGTGTGTGTTAGCCTTGTAGCTTTATATTTCCCCCACTGCATTGAGACTCGGGGAGGTTTCACCTCGAACTTCTCGCCCTCCGAGAGGTCCTTTTTATTCTTTAACACGCTCCTGTACTTAAAATCTAGGATGTATGCAGATTCGAGGCGATTTTCGGGCTGAGTGTGTGCGATATTATAGGTCTCTCCGAGCGAGGTAATTAAATTTAAGTTTTAATGCCACGAGCGCCATTGCTGGAGCAGCATTTGGGCGAAATTGCTTTCGGGATTTATTTTCAGGGGTGAAAATTGAGGGGGTAATGGAAGACCGGTTTTTTTTTTTTTTTTTTTTTTCCTTATTTCGACTGACTTTCTTCTTCCAGTTTTTCTCGTAATTGAGCGAAATCAACTGTCAGCGCTGAGCTTTGTATCGGCAAGCAACGATCACAGCATTAAAATCCAGAGTAATTTATTGCTCACTCGGAACTTATCGATAACTTTTTCACGATTGGCACGTGTATGTATATACTCCTTTTATACCAATAACCATTGAGACTCGAATCGTATTTTAAAACCACAATTGGTATAGGAGAACCTCTACCACCCAACTTATACGGAAGGATCGACAAGGGTAGTTTTAGTATAAAATGTAAATATACACCTTCGTGACAAATTTATGAGTGAAAACAGCTTGAATCAATCACGTCACGAGTGTTATCAATGAAAAAAAAAAAAAAAAAAAAAAATTACGATTCCCTCCTCGATTCAGAACACAAATCACTGTGAAAGACCCTCGCTCGGAGCACAAAATCGCACAATACCGCCAAAAGTTCAAGGCCACGGTGGCGAGCATATCGTGAAAGTCAAGTATCATAAATCGACCTCGTAAAAAAAAAGGCCGCCTCTGCAAATTCCGTCATAATCACCTTTCTCCAACAACGTATGTACACAAACTTCATAACGCACGAACAGCGAAAATAAGCGCAAACCCCGCCAGTCAGCACATGGAGATACTTTTGCTGCCTCTGCTACTAATGATACTGCGGCACAGAGATAAGGAAACAATGCCGTACTTCCCGCAAAAGGAAGCTGCCATATATTTCTCGCCTCTCTCTGAACTTGATCTTGAAACTTTATCTCGCAACCTTACCACTGTATAGTATTATCATACTGGAGGACATAATGTGTGGTACTTTTGTTGTAATACATCATACGCTCCACCGAATTTCATGCCGGAGCCTAGAATAGATTTGGTCGCATCGATAATCG